TTAGAATTATAGTATTATAGTATTATACATTTATTTTTATTCTCATCTCTTTTGTGTAGAGTAAAAACTGTTAGGTAGGTACCAATTGTTTTAAAAATTTAAAAACACTTGCCAAGTTAGGGATCAGCATGTAAACTTTCTTGATTTTTAATTTTTAGATATGTATTTAGTCAGTAATAAGTGTATTAAGTAACCACTAATCAATAACACTGATAACTATTATTTTGAATTAACGATTAATGAGTAAGTAGTAGGAGTGTAGGACYCAGGACTAATGTTATAAAAATATAAATGTCAAATGATTATAAATAATAAATAATAATGATAAAGATATTTATATTGTTCAGCTAGTTACGAACTTCGATTATATAAATTATAAATTATAAATAGTACAAAACAACAAAACCAAAATATTAAATAATTACCCAAGTCTATAAATAATTCAATAGCACAAGAAATAAATAATAATCAATGCCCGGACAATATCGTAGTTTTAATTTTACATTTGTAATATTTAAAATTTAAATACAAAGTATATAATATAGAATATTGTATATACCTACTATAATATAGTATATAACTATATAGATTATAGATTATAGACAATAGGAAAACTAAAAATAAAATACACATCGGGAACATTTTTAGTTCGAAACGTTTGACATATTAGAATTTTTGCTGTTCGTACATTTTTTGAGTTCGAACTATTTTAATTTTCGAACTATTTTTACTTCCGAACTTTTTTGTTCGAGTTCGGTTCGGTTCGGTTTTTTTAAAACTGGGTTCGACTTTCGAACTCGAACCGAACACCTAAAGTTCGGTTCGATTTTTCGAACTTCGAACAGTTCGACCCACCTCTAATTCCTGGTATTAAACGTGACTTCGTGAGCTCGTAGCTGTTGATATATCTTATATAAAAATATAGTCATAAGGGCGATTAAATGTCACATTGTTACAATGTTATATCTATATTATAAATTATTATTTATTATTTTATTAGTACATACTTAATTAATATAACATATTAGTTGTTATTTATAAAAATAATTACGAAAATATCTTCTTTTTCCAACAATGTTTTCTAATAATCTACGAATTTTAAATCAACGAAMCGTTATAGACTGAAATATATTCTAGATAACGCGAAAATTCAAAATAAAGTYAATTAGTAATATTAAAAAAGTAGAAGTTGATTTTAAGTTAACGTAGATAAAAATAAATTAAGTTAAAGTTAAGTTAATTAAAACAGAAACTAGTAAGTTAAGTTAATAAGCTAAAATTAACTTAACTTTTAACTTATTAACTCGTTAATGCCCAGCCTTGGGCCTTTTAGTACCTGCTATACAATTATATTCATCAGTACCTAATAATTTAATTCTTTATTTTTGTGTATAAAAAAGCTATTGACTATTGCCYATTTTCTGTGCTCAATAATATTTATGATTTTTATTATTTTAAACTGGGTATTTACTATACATATAATTATTAAAAAAAATCATAATAATATTAACTTAAATTAATT